GTTACTATAAATACAGTTTTTATGCTGTACTTGTTCGTCCAAGGTTTTACCACACATTTTAAGCACCAAGTTAATAAGAAACATTCACTTTCATCACCAAAGAAACACAAGTACTAATCTTACGAATTCAGCGTGTGCTAATGTGGACATATCAGCACAATAAACTGAATAACTAGGCATTTCTTTATACAATACAGATACATAAACACATCAAAATGAAACACAAACAGAAAATAAAGAAAACAAAGGCATTCAAACAGCTAACTCCATAAATGTACCCCAAAAAACAGAGTGGATCCAAGTCTTTTGAGGTCCTATATCTCGAAATAGCAGGGCTACAAAATTCACGCAATAAAGAAAACATTTTTTTGTAATGATTTGATTACCAGAAATCTCAAAATTCAACAAAACAGAGTTTAGGCAAAACCAATTGACGCGAAAACTTAGTTCATCCTCCGGATGAGTTCATTAATATAATCTTCCCGATTACCGGCATCACCACCCTCAACATAATGGTTCCTCTTCTTCTTCAATCCACCCAAAGGAGCCTTCAGTTGGAATGGCCACAGGAAGTTGTTAGCTTCCTTGAAGTGGGGTCCCACAGTCAGAATCTCATGAATAAGATCCTCCATGCAGATAATTCCATGCTTGCCCAAAGTCTGTTGTAAAATAATCATACGTAAACATAGACAAAGATAAAATATAAATTTAAAAGAAAGAGCAGAATTCGATTTCATATTAAACTGAAAAACATAATGTAACCTGCTCAATGATTGAATTATCAGTCAAAGCAATCCTCTGCTTGTTCACTTTTCCATAGCCACGCTTGTAGATCAACTCCTTTACGCTCTTAAGGTTGGGGTATCTGAAAAGTTCATCGTGTTTACAATTTTCAGATGATTTATTTAACCAAAAAGTATAATTATGCAGGTCAGATGCTATCTTACCCATAAGTAACATAAGGCTCAACCCTGTGCAGCATGTTCACTGTGGCCTTGTTTACTTTCAAGAAGACACCATTGAAGATCTATATGAGTGTCAATTAGAAACCAAATTAATAAAATACATGAGATGCAAGTACGATTGTTTTTTCCCTAGAGCCAGAAAAAATAATAAGGGAAACTCGAAACAGAAGCATGAAGACCTAAATCTCATTGAAACAAATTTATCGAGGAGCAACATATCCAGATAAACAGTTATGAAAGATATCTGAAAGTTCGGACATTACATTTTCGTCCAAGAACAACATTAGCTTCGTGGAGGGAAAAAGGTTTAGAACAAGGAACTTTAATTCAGGTGAACATGTCCATGATGCCAAAAAAGGATAAATAATATTAATTCTGGAATCTACCAGGAATATGCATATGTGAACATATGAGGAAAATAATTTAATGACAAGTGATACAAAATGTAAATCGTATCAAGCATCCATGCCCCATGGACTCTTAGCAACAAGATGAAAACAACTAATATCAAACAGGATTACTCTATAACAGTTGCACAGGATACCTGTCTCAATCTCAGAAGATGAAGAATTTTCTTGGTTCTTGGGTGCATAGCATTGATACTGAAATTATATAAAGATAAAGTAAATAAAAATTCTTCCCACACATTGAGCTGGATGCGTACACTGAGAAGCACGCAAAAGGCTTACCCACGGATCCTGATGATGAACAAAAGTTTGGCTTCTGGGTTCACATAAAACCCACCTTTCAATCTAGCTTCACGTTTCAATTGGATCAACTCCTTCTCCTAGAGGACAAAATTAAAAGGAAAAAAAAAAGGAACTAGTGAATGATGGCCTACAAGAAAAAAACAAATTGGCCTGTCTTTGATTTTAAAGGCAAAGATAATTCAAGATAACCTGTTGCTCATACTCCTTTGCGTACTCTCTTGCTTTATTGCAAATCAATTTTCTGGTCACAGCTTGCTTCTTCTTAGCCTCATCAACTTCTTTTGACTTGGCAAGGGCCCACTCCTCAGCCCTCTTCTGCTTCTTCACAAGTGACTCCGGCACTATCACATAGCCTTTACCAGCCTCAGCCATTGCTAATCTGGGGTAGGATACAAGCCAAAACCGTAATATTAACTATCACGTTGCAAAATTTATTTTACACTTTACAAGGAACAACACAACACAACACAACAGATCAATATGTATCCAACTGATTAGTCCAAAATCCAACAATGATGTCACTTATTGTAGCGTATAACTATACATCTCAATTCATACACGAACCAATATCTCAATCATGGACTTGACATAAGTATCCTTTTTTTCAGTACCTGTCTTTTGCAAGATTCTGGCGAATAAATATAAACACAAATGACACTCAAGAAACGATTTTATGATTCTTCCACTCACGCTCTTCATTTATATCTAAAACACGTGAGAATTGATTACTGCCGATGACTAATCTTTACAAACAAAACAAGTAAATAGTCATTATGTCCAAGTAGAAAAACGCAGATTACCTAACATGAAGGAAATGTAAAAACGGACCAAATCAAAGACAGGAAAACTTTTATCTGAACATTCCTTTTATCACTTTTGTTTGTTCTGCTTTGCTCAAGTCCCTTGTTCGATGAATAACCAGAAATACCCACCATAATGAAACCCAGTACCAAATGCATTATCATATAGCACCAAACGATCTTAAAACAACAGAATCCCAAAACCCGCAGCTCATCCTCGTCATTTCATCAACAGCAGCTCAAATAACAACCAATGATGAATTTACCAATCAAAAGCACACAGAAAACAAAATCACCATGGACATAAACACTTACAGGATTCTAAGCACCTCAGGTAGAGACTTGTGTTCGGAGTTCCTGCTGTAAGTGAGAGGCTCTGAAGTCTGACCTCCGGAAACCCTAGTTCATTTATACAGGCATAGCGGAATGGCAGGACCTTAGTTGGGCTAGTTAAAATATGGCCCAAGTCCATCTACATATCGCTTCACTTAAAAGGGGCCGGCTACAGTGCCGTCGTGGTACCATTCCGTTGTTTTGTTTTAGGCCTTTAGATGTTGAAAATAAAAGGCAGCCTTTGGATTAAATGGAAGCCCACAATACTATGGTGTGGAATAAAACACCTAAACTTTGTCATGCCTATCCATTACAATCCACCTCCACGTTGATTACTATTTTGTAGTTCAAATAATGTATTTGAAATTATTGCCAATTAAATGACCTTCTTACAAATTGCTTAAGCCAATGCTTATATTATTCTAAATTCGGAACTTCTTAAGTAATGAAAGAATATTTAATGTGCGCTAATATTATAATATTATTTATTAATGTAGTTAATTTAAATTATGTACAACTTTTAAAATGTAAGATTGTGTATATATATTTTACACAATATACACACATTATTTTTAGAAGTTAATTTTTTATAACAATTAAAAACCTTTAATTTAGCAATTTTTAAAAACTAAATTCCTTCTATAATCAAAAGATTTTTCTAATTTATATCATAAAAATTTATAGTTTATTTAGCATAGTATGCAGTGGAAATATAGTTCATAAGAATTTCTTTATGGAAAGAAATCAAAATAAATAATGAAAAAATAATCATAGTTGACATAATATACAAATAAATCACATGTTAGAACTATAAAGAATATTTAATACATTTTAATTTTATTATCTGCTCACTAATAAAATTATTTAATGTATCTAGTCATTCTCTCTTAAATAATAAATTAAATTAGTTTAAAGAATATATAACGAAATAAAGTTTAAAAAAAATTATATTGGCAAAAATTAATTCACTAATAACGTGATTTTGCATGATTAATTGAAAGAAAAAAAAAATTACCTAACATGTTACGATTTTCTATAAATTTTTTGTATGAAAAGTCAATATGTGTGAAAAAATATAATAATATGGACAGAACTCAGAATATGTTTTTATGTTTATGTTGACCACAATATTATCAACATGAATAGTGAAACATCGATACAATTTATTATAATGTATATCAATGAAATTATTACAAATGTTAATAAAATTATTCATGGAAAGTATATTCTTTTATTATATTTGATTTGATTTGGAAACATGTATAATCAAGTAATTAATACATATATTTCAAAAGTTTCAAAAGAAATTGTGCATTAAATGTTTATATAGACTAGTATGAGTCCCGTGCAGTACACGGGTAAGATATATTCATTAATGTTTATAATTTAAAAATTCTTATTAAATAATATTTATAAATTTAAAATCTGGAATCAATATGTAATACAATTTACCTATATTAATTTATTGAAAATATTATATAAAATTTAAATTGTGCAAAATTACATAAACTTATTGATATCCGAGTTGGATCGATGTGATGTTCTCGAGTCAAGGACAGAAACCGGGGAAAGACGATCTGGGAACCCGGACCAGTCTTCAGGCGATTACGAGATGTCGGGTTGACCGGGAAGCAGAGTAAACAGGGACAACGAGCGGCACCAGTTTCCAGGTCGGCACTCTGGCCGCACAGGAGCGAGGCCGACCTAACCGGACACCGAACAGAGAAACGGGACCCCAGAGCTTAGGGAACATATTAGCGAAAAAGATCCGACCTGGATTTTTTCCGAAGTCGGCTCCTGGACATCTGCGGGATCCAAAACTAATAAAATGTTGCCACTTGTCCACTAATGATTGTCGATGGGACGCGTCTCCATACCCTGACAGCCTAGAGTGCCTAGCTCGGTAGAAGGGCCTGTCCGCATTTAAATGCTCTACAAGAGAGCATTAAATGTCTAACAGGTAATGATTGGAGAAACCTCAAATCGCATTTAATATCTGTCAGAGCGACGCTGGCCTGATCTGCAGAATCACTGCGTGACAAGACCGGATGAATAGTGCATGAACAGTGCCAAATTTAGGACTACTATAAATGGAAGACTCCTCTCATCTATTTGGGGGTTGTTGAATTTCTCAACTACTGCCTTCTCTCTACTTTCTCTCTCTAGAAAACTGTAATAAATTTTCGCAGAAATACAAAGTGTAACAAACGTGCCGACCACATTTACAGAGGCCGACCTCGTAATTACTTAATAAATTCTATTTTCGCAGTACATCCTTCCTATTTTACGCCATTACACTTTATTTTAACCGTTGATCAGATCCGTCCATCAACAAAACTATTCAAATCAAAAAATTAAATAGTTGAGTAATTTATTAAACTATAAAGAATTGGCTATTCCGTTTACGCCTAAGTTTATATTGACTCGTAAGTAGTTGAGTAATTTATTAAACTATAAATAATTAACTATTTCGTTTTAAGTCCAAGTTAATATTGACCCGTAAGTTATGAATAATTACATTTTTTTTAATTTTAAATAATTTTTTTCAATATATTATATACCAAATTTAAACCATACAACTAATAAAGGTAATAGCCGCAAGTTTTGTTAATATATTATATTTTAAATTTAAATTATGCAACAAATAAAGGAGATAGAAACTCATCTTGGATGGTATTTGTCTACCTTAGCACCGATCACAGAACTAGAGAGGCCCAAAGGAGATACCTAGAGAAAGCAAAGTCCAAATGGGGAGATAGATGGTTAATCGGTTGCAATTGGAACGACATATGTAGCAACGATGAGAAGCTGGGAGGCAGGACAAGGCCAGAAGCCAGTTTTTGGAGTTTCAAGCAATTCATTGCCAATATGAGTATGCAGGAAATTCCATACACTTGGTGGAATTGCAGAATAAGCCCGGATTGTGTGGAAGAAAAACTCGACAAATTTTTTGCCTCATTTGGTTGGCTAGCCTCATTCCCGAACTCCTCTGCTACAAACACCTTTCGAAGTTCCTCGGACCATAGCCTTATTGTGATCTCAACTAGAGATGTCTCTGCTAACATCAAAAAATGATTTGATGATGTTTTGTGTTTTGTGTTTTGGGCTCGTCAGAACTCGGAATTGAGTTTCGTTTTTTCCTGTACGTAGCTAAAGAACCCTCTATTTAATGATACGTGCATGACCAAATTATTCTTGAAATCATATTCTCCCAAAGCTCTTGACCTACACATTAAACGTGTTTCGCGCGATTTTGCTTTATAGGGCCGTTCGGACTTGTCCAAGCTCGAAATTGATTTTCGCTTCTTCCTATATGTCGCCAACGAACCCATCTACACAACCATGATTGCCCGGTCAATTTTTGGGCTAAATCTATTCCTAACGGGCTAATTAATTAACAAATCACCCATTATATAAATAGATGGTCCACGAAGGATTTGTTAATAGGTGATTTGTTAATTATTTATCCCCGTGAGGGATAAATTTAACCCGAAAATTGACTGGGCAATCATGGTTGTGTAGACGGGTCTTTCGCGTTCACGGCGTCTTCTACCTCCAACAATGTTGGCAGCGGATTGATGCCTCGCCCTGTGTGACTGTGTACTCTGGGATGAAACGTAGTCCTCCTCGGATAGAACTTGACTGAACGACGCCCCTAATTGTGTGACCTCTTGGCCTCCAACAGTCAGAGACTATAGGCAATGTTATAGGACTGTTGGTCAGATAACTATAGTTGTAGGACTGTTGGAATGTGGCCTGCGCCCGTGGAAGGAGTGTAGGAAATATGTCTTGAATATTCGCTAACGAGTTATAAACCCCCTCCAGGGCTTGAGTCTGAAAATAAAATTCAAAGTAATTAGTATGAAACACAAAAAAAATAATAAAAAAACCACAAATTATGAACACGTACATCGCACTTCTCCCGCTCGACAACTGTCTGATAACCCCGTCCTGTTGGACTACCGTGTACTTGGTAGGGTCACTAATGAGTCTCACAGTCCTAGTATAAAACCAATCAATTTAACCCTCCTCAGCCTGTAGGAAGTGATCCACTGGGGCATCTTGGAGGACATCTTGTTCTCTTTCATCGACTCAACCCTTGGTAAACTGTGAATGAAAGGCGGCCCAATCACCAAATGCCCTCACAGTCATTCTCTGGCCTCTGTGGTGTGTCTACCATTCTTGCTTATTACTAATCATCAGATTTTGAGGATGGACTGCTCACACCCAAACTGACGGAGAACCTTATCAGACAAGTGGACTTCACGTATGTTCCAACAGAAGATCCACCCCCTGTACATCTAAATATGTTGATCTTCTGTGCACTCATCCTGGATAGTACCATCCTTAGGTATTGTTCATAGGCCACCCAATCGAACAATAAAAAAAATTTGAATTAGGCATTAAGTTATAAAAAAATTAAAAATGATGCTTGCATGGCTAAATTACTCTTGAAATCATATTCTCCCAAATCTCTTGACTTGTACATTAAACGTGTTCTGCGCGACTTTGTTTTTTTTGCCCGGTTGGACTCGTCCAAGCTCGTAATTGAGTTTCATTTCTTTCTATATGATTTATTCCTAACGGAGCTAAATAACTAACAAATCCATGGATGATTTGTTAATGGGTGATTTGTTAATTATTTAGCCCGTGAGAAAAAGAAGTAGCCTAAAAATTGACCGGAAAATCATGGTTGTGTAGAAGGGTTCATTGATGACATATAGGAAGAAGCGGAAATCAATTTCGAGCTTGGACGAGTCCAAACGGGCCCAAAAAGCAAAGTCGCGCGAAACACGTTTAATGTATAGGTCAAGAGCTTTAGGAGAATATGATTTCAAGAATAATTTGACCATGCAAGCATCATTGAATAGAGGGGTTCGTTAGCCACGTATAAGAAAAAACGGAACTCAATTCCGAGTTCAGACGAGCCCAAACGAGCCCGAAACACAAAATACATACTGCATATTAATTTTTTGTTCATTAATTCTAAAATACAAGATGTATTATCAAAATATGTTTTATTTATTAATTTTTTATAAAACGTATTATTGGAATACGTGTTTTCTCAATTGTTTAAAAAAATAATATTTTACAAATATAACTTTAAAACGTATTACTAAAAT